GTTATGAGAAAACCGTGCTTGCATCCCTTCGCTGAACTTGTCTCTTTGTCCGCAAGTGCTTCCGTACGGAATAGCCCTCGCCACGCTGACAACCTCGTAGGATTGCGTGATCTCAGCTTTGTACCCCAATGATGTGCGTCGCCCCAACTGCTCGCAAGCCTGTTCTTCGACAGAGAGTGCATCTTCTAATGTGGAAAAAACGATCGTGGTGGACCTTTTGCCACATAAAACAGAGGCGTCACGTCCGGGAATCGTACTTGGAAATATTCGACTTCGGTGACCGTCTGCTAGGCCAAACCAGCATTGTGAAGCACCACATTAACACCGGCAATGTATCTCCGGTACATCGACGGCCGTACCGCGTTTCTCCTGCGGAGCTTGAGGTCATTCAAAAGGAAGTCGAGAATATGCTCGCCAAAGACATAGTTGAGCCATCTTCCAGTCCATGGTCTTCCCCTGTTGTTCTTGCAAAGAAAAAGGACAACAGTTAGTGATTCTGTGTCGACTACCTACATCTGAGCCAGATCACTAAGAAAGATGTCTACCCGCTACCGGGCATTGACGACGCCCTGGATTGCATTCATGGCGCGAAGTATTTTTCCTCCATCGACCTTCGCTCAGGGTACTGGCAAATTGCTGTCGACGGCATGGACCACGAGAAGACTGCTTTTGTGACCCCTGATGGTCTTTACCAGTTTAAGGCCATGCCATTCGGATTATACAATGCTCCAGCACCTTCGAACAAATGATGGACACTTTCTTGCGCGGGTTCAAGTGGTCAATTTGCCTATGTTATCTCGATGACGTCATCGTGTTTTCCCCGACCTTTGAAACACACCTCGACCGCCGTCCTTCCAACCTTTCTGTTTTTCGTAATGCAGGACTGCAACTGAACTCATCGAAGTGCCACTTCGGGCGCCAGCAAATAACCATGTTGGGCCATCTTGTGGACTCCTCTGGCGTACGCCCTGATCCTGATAGGCTTCGAGCTGTGCAAAACTTCCCCGTCCCGGCCAGCACTAAGGAAGTCCGCAGCTTTTTAGGTCTATGTTTTTACTTCCAACGTCTTGTAAATAATTTTGCGGACGTAGCCCGACCTCTTACGGACTTGCTGAAGAAGGATGTTCCTTCCATTCTCTTGGGGCATTGCAGGCTTCGGCGTTCTCCAATCTGATCGCGTTGCTCACAACACCAGCTATTCTGGCTCATTTTGACATGTCTGCCCCAACAGAAATCCGCCCTGATGCCAGCGGCCATGGAATCGGTGCTGTTTTGGTCCAACATCAAAGTGGCTGCTCCCGCGTTATCGCATATGCCAGCCGTCTGCTCTCTGCAGTCGAGCGGAACTACTCTATCACTGAACGGGAATGCCTTGCTCTAGTTTGGGCGGTTGACAAATGTCGGCCCTACCTACATGGTCGTCGTTTCACCGGATGGATGGATGGATGGATGAATGGATGTGGCTGTACCCTTTAGATCGGGTGGTGGCTAGTGCCACCAAGCTGTAATACTTAATGAACCAAAATCTAGATTTATTTTTTTTCCTTTAAATAGTGAGGCTGAGGATTCGTACTTTGCACTGAAGGGTTTATTTTCACTCATGCCTTGACTTTAGCCACCAATCAGATAACCTCCTTCTAGTTAATTCTACCCGCTTAAAGTCTATTTTGCCCTCCCATGCCCTAAACCCCAGTGCTTTGAAGAACTCTGCGCCATCATACTGAACTATAGAGTGAAGCCCTTTACAGAACATTATCAAGTGTTCGGCAGTTTCTTCTTCCTCTCCACACGCACTGCATACCATGTCTACCCCTTCGTATTTGGCCCGATATGTCTTGGTTCGCAATACTCCCGTCCTGGTCTCAAACAGTAGAGAACTACCCCGAGTATTATCATAGATCCTTTCCTTGGCAATTTCCTGCTTAAAAGTTCGATAGATCTATAGTGCGGACTTCTTAATCATGCCGATTCTCCACATGCCGGTCTCAGCTTCCTTCACATTATTCTTAACCGATAATTCTTTTTGGTTTGGCCCCCTGCTGTTTTCTAAGTACTTACCAGTCAATTTTCTGGTTCGCTTCCTCCATTTTGTATCGACATTCTTCATGTACAAGTAGCTGAATACCTTCCTAGCCCAACGCTTTCCCCCCATTTCTCTCAATCGCCTCTCAAATTTTATCTTGCTGCTAGCTTCCCTGCCCTCAAATGATGTCCATCCCCTATCACCTTGTACTCCCTGATTTGGTGTATTCCCGTGAGCTCCTGAGGCAAGCCTACCTATCCCACGTTGCTTAATTTCTAATCTTGCTTGAGCTTGTGATCTCATGCACAAGACTGCATTGCCGAACGTCAGACCAGGAACCATGACCCCTTTCCATATTCCTCTCACAACATCATACCTATTGTATTTCCACAGTGCCCTGTTTTTCATTACCGCTGCATTCCTGTTATCTTTAGTCGTCACGTATGTTTCGTGTTCCCTTAGGTACTCGGCCCCATTGCTTATCCACACGCCGTATTCTAAGCTCACTACCTTCATTGTCATTAAAAAGCATGACTGCTGATTTTTCCTTACTGAATCTGAAATCTAACCTATCTCCCTCATTACCGCAGATGTCCACCAATCTCTGCAAATCTTCCTTGTTGTCGGCCATTAGCACTATAGCATCTGCGTACATCAATGCTGGTAGTTCCTGTTCAATGAGTTTTCCTTGTTTGACGAAAGAGAGGTTGAAGCCCAGTCCCCTTTTCTCTAATTTGGCCTCTAATCCTTGTAGGTACATCATGAATGATAAGGGTGACAGAGGACACCCCTGTTTAAGCCCTCGTTTTACCTCTGCAGACTTGGATACCTGTTTTTCCCACTTTATAACTACCTTGTTACCTTTATAGATATTCTTTAAAATATTAGTGACTACATATTCCACGCCTAGTGTGTCCAGTATTCCCCACAATTCCTCTTGAACCACGCTATCGTACGCTCCCTTGATATCCAAAAATGCTAGCCACAGGGGCCTGTGTTCCTTTTCTGCTATTTCGATGCACTGCGTCAGTGAGAACAGCTTGTCTTCCAACCTCCTGTGTTTCCGAAACCCATTCTGCAGTTCTCCCAGCACCCGCTCATCCTCCATCCATGCATGCAGTCTTTCCTTTATAATCTGCATCGCCAACCTGTAGATCACTGATGTCACTGTTATAGGACGGTAGTTGTTTATGTCAGCTTTGTCCCCCTTTCCTTTATAGGTCATGCTCATCCTGCTAAGTTTCCATCCATCGGGAACTACTCCATCGATTTTTACTTTGTTCACTGCCTCTCTTAAAGCCTGCTTAGACTTCGGACCTAATGTCTTTATCAGCAGAATTGGAATGCCATCTGGGCTAGTTGATGTACTACTAGGAACCCTTTTCTCAGCCCTTTCCCACTCTCGTTGTGAAAATGGAGCCATTGCGCCACTTGATTCTTCCTTGTCTATTGTGGTGCATAAAGCACTTCTTTGTTGAAACTTTTCTGCCACCCTTGTTCTTATATATTCAATAGCTTAGTCCCCTTCTAGCCTAGCACCTTGAGCTGTAGTTATAAATCTCTGCTCTAGGCTCGTCTCATTTCTTAGGGAGTTTAGATGGTTCCAAAATTTCGCAGCTGCCTTTCTATCTTTTTTATGTACTTCTGCCAGCCACTCAGCTCCCTTTCTTCTAATCTTTTCATTGATCAGAAGGGATGCATCCCTTCTACAGCTTAGAAAGATTTCCCATTTTCTTTCAACATCTTCTGCCGGTTCATCCCACTGCTTAGCATGTCTGTGTTCCCTAGAGGCTTCCTGGCGTTTTGCTATGGCTCTCTTAACTTCCTAATCCCCCCCAACTTTCGGGTTTGTGTCTTCTTTTCCGGGGTGACTTGTCACGTGCCTTAGCAAGCTCTAGCTCAAACAATCTAATGAGATTCATGTATGTCCACACTGTTTTATTATCCTCAGTGATTACTTTCTTCTGAATTTGTAAAGTGGCGATTTCAATTTGCCTTTCTGAATAAAACTTTTCCTGTAGTTGCTCATCTTGTGTCCTTCCCACTTTCACTGCTCTTCAAAAACTTAGCTTGATACGTTTGTGATCACTACCCAGACTTCTGGAGCCGCCTTCATCTATGTGCATTCCCCTAAGCTTATCATACATCCTATGTGACATCAGTGCGTAATCTATCGTCGACTACAGCCTTCCTACCTCCCATGTTATTTGCCCTTCACACTTCTCGGTACTGTTGCAAATGATCAAATCAAGCCTTTCACACATATCCATGATTATTTTGCCTGTCGGGTCGGTATACCCATCTATATCTTCTATGTGCGCATTCATATCTCCTAGTAATAATTATCTCGCACTCTCCTCCTAACTCATGAATGTCATTTGATATACACTCTACCATTGTCTGGTTTTCCTCTCTGGCCTTTGCTCCCGTCCACAAGTGCACGAAACCAAAGAGTGTCATTAGCCCTGCCACTTTCCCTTTCAGCGATAAATGCTCCTTCCTCCCCTGCTTGACCCTTTGACAGTCTGTACTTTTATGAATGAATGCACCAATACCACCCCCCTTTCTGCTGCCTTCTGTTCTATTACAATATTCCCACGCGTAGTCGGCATCGTTAGGAGGTTGTTCCATGTCCCTGAGATCTGTTTCTACAAAACCGTATACCATCGGCCTCTCCTCCCTTAGCTGTTCTTCTATCTCTTCCCACTTCAGCCTGTTCCTACCACCCTGCATGTTAATATACTCTATGTCTGAATTGGCTCGGTGCTCGTGGCTACGTCTATTTCTGCCCCGGACTCTACCTATCTTAGATACTGGTGCCACTTTGGAATCGTATCTGTCCATACCACCTGTCAAAGAGTCTCCCTGGTTGTTTTCCTCGTTACTAGCTATCCTGCACCCCGAAGGGCCCGCTTGCCTCCCAAAAAAGCCACTGCGCGTCCTGCAAGTCGCCAACCCACCAAGGCGATGCACTTACCTGGCTGAGCACGGACACCTTCATGTGCACGGGATTACCCGGGCTAGTAGGCATCACGAACTCGATGGGTGCCTGGCCCCAGAAGTTCAACGCACGGGTCCAGTTGGCGGGACCAGTCATGGCGTATAAGTTCTGGCCCGGCCTATTGTCCTGACCTGGAAGAGTTTGTGCGTGTGCATCCCGGTGAGACCTCAAGGATGCCTCATTATTCGCATAACAAGTATATTTAACGCTAAATGGAAGCTCTCGCCAAATATTTCGGCAACGAAAGACTCCTACAAAAAGTCGTTACGCCAATTGGTTGCAACACTTATAACAGCTTTTAAATATGTTTAAATATGTTTCTATCTACTTAGTGCCTACACACCTCATCGACGTGCTCCCGTTGACTGAGGTCGCACGTATTTTGAACCATTGTAGCAAAGACAGCTAGCAGCTACATAGAGGCAGAGAAGCTATCCCTGCATCTTTCACTGCTGCTGTGTTAGGTCGAAAGCCTTAGATGCCTTATAAGCGCGAAAACTGACCGTGGGTGTCGGCGTCAGCACGAGTGATGCAATCGTGATGTCGCAGGATGACGCCATTACGTCACAAAGTCGCTTGGTTGTAAGTGGAGCGATCACGGAGACAGTGCAGAGTTACGTTGGGTGCAAATAGCTTTACTAGGTGTGGGGGGTGTCAAGATTTGATACCTTGATTGAGAGAAAGAAGGTGTTAATCTTCGAGTCGCGTTAGGCAAATGCACAAAGAATCATGTAAGTTTTCTTTGATTCCTATCAGTTTACAAAAATGTTGTCTAAAATTCAGATACATTGGCTGTGATTAAAGAGTTGACACAAGCTGCCTGTCATAGTTAAACTTTGGTGAGAGACGATACCTAGGGCACGACATTAGATGCAGGCAGGATTGACGTTCACATTAGTATACTGACGAAGTAGAAAAGGTCGCAACGATATCGTGTTTGCAGGAAACTTTGACCCTGGTGGGATGTTCAAAATTGTCGAGTAGAGCGGCTGCTGAAGTTAGGGAACAGTATGCCGGTGGTTTAAGATCATTGTTAAAAAATAAAGAGCACAACAGGGAAGACGACAATACTTTTTAATGACACAAACGCAAGCGCTGACTCAAAACTGAAGTTTCATTCAAATATATACATCAGGGGCGTATCCAGAGGACAATAAAAGCGATAGCCCCCCCCCCCCCCCACACACAAAGCTTGTGTCAGCATCCCACCTCTCTTCAGTGCTTGCCATCCACCTCCTATCACCATTTAGAAAAATTGAGTGACACCATTGTGAGCATGTAATAAAAGTATTTACGCTATGACGGGGTTTCAGTGCTACTACAAACGATAAAGTCAGAGCCCTCCCTCCCTCTCCGGTGTTCGCTCGAACCGCCCATATTGTCCAGACATGCAAATGGCTACACAAAACAAAGGAAAATATCGAGCAAAAACAAAACAGAAACAAGATATACATTATGGTACAACATTACTTAATTATGAAACGTAACCGAAGGAAAGCTGATACATGATTAGCTAGGAAAATACAGCGCAAACACATGAACTCACCCAAATAAATGTATAGCCTATACACGAATTCTTTTTTATATAAATTATGTGACACCTCTGTAAGTTTCGAGATATCTCGTGATGACTAATAGTTATTTCACATGTCATCTTAAACTGGGGCGCGCAGTCACACTTTTCGCAGTCCTGAGCAATGTTCGATGGGCCTTCTCATCTCCCCTTAACCTTACATGTGTACGCTTTCATGCCTGGCCTGTTTAGGCAGAGCCAAAAGACAACAATAAATTGTGAACCACGCTTGCGGCACAACTGATAGTTTGAGTACAGACTACAGCCTATTATCATTCCTTGCTTTTTCTATTTAACAACTGGAAGAAAATAAAGGGTACTGGGATGAATTCTTTCACCGTTACCGATACCAACGCATGGCACTTTGGCAAAATAAAAAAAAGAGAGCATTTTAAAGCACGGAAACGTAGCTGTATAGAACGACTGGCAATGTAATTTGAAGGTCCAGTGCAAGTATCAACAGTGAGAGTGCTATCAGCTCGCCTACATCATTGTGAATCCTCTTGTTGACGCAATGTTAACGCTACAGGAGGATATCGCAACTGAACGCGTCCCGTAAAAAAAACAAAACAACGATGTCGTGCTTGCCACAAAAACGAGCAAAAAAGAATGACACATTAATAAATGACACCTTCTTTTTCTCGGACATTACAGGGTCAGCACGCTTGAAGAGTCGAAGCATGTCCTCGACAAACATCGAAACTCTCTCGTTGGGTCGTTGGTTCCGAGACGAGATAGCCTGCTCCGCTCTCCCTTTCCTTTCAGTGCTGCGGTACGCATCACGAAACTGTTGGCTGAACTCATGCCACGTCGCAAAGGAACCCTCGTGATTCTCGTACCACGTTTTGGCAGAGTCTTCTAATGCAAAGTAAACTCTCCGCAGCTTGCGAGCTTCATCCCATTCGCTGATGTTGGCAACTCGATTGAAGTGGTCAAGCCAGTCGTCAACATCTTCATAAATGTCTCCATGAAATGAGCGTGGTGTTTGCGGCGCATGAAAAACATGCGGGAGAAAAGAATAGGCGTCGTTGGTCTGACTCGCCTGGTTGTTAGTTGAAGTTGCCATCTCGTCTTGAGAGAGGGGACCGTACTCGGGAGATAGTCCTCGCAGGCGGTGACTGCTACGTGCCGTGGGAGCTGTAGCGCACTCTTTTCAATTGAGAAGAAAACTCGCGCACTTTAGCCATAAATAAAAAGATTGCTGTTTCTGATAAAATAACTTATATATACGAGTATTGGTGACTTAATCTTCATTTAAGTTTGCCTTGAAGTTGATGCCTACTAAAAAAAAAACTAGCATCAGAAGGATGCACTTTGAGCACTATTGACCAGAACGGGTTGCCACGTAAAACTCGCTTGGCGTAACCTCCTTGGTTTTAGCAAACTTTAGCGAGGGTTGGGCCACAGTGCCATGATTATAGTGAACTAGTATATAGCCATGAACTAAAAACGGTGAAAAGCGGCAAGTAGACAAAAAGCACAGGCCGTAAGAAAGTGCGCGAGTGCCACCTCCCGTTTAGTCCTTGGAATGTCCGCTGGATGGCGGTACTTCTATATGCTGAATATATGATGACAAGATGCGAGATGGCGGTACTTGGAGTGTTCACTAGATGGACGGATGGATAGATGGACGAATAGACGGTCGGTCAGACAGACAGATGCACGGACGGCCGCATGGATCGATAGACGCATGGACGAATGCTGGGGTGGACGCACGGTGGACGCATGGACGGATGCATGGACGGACGTATGGACGCACGACCACACACGCGGATGGTCGCACGGACGGATGAAAGCAAGAACGGACGGATGGACAGATGAACGCTTCGCCCTACTCACCATCATTCACTCCATGGATGTACTGTGATTCTTTATGTAGCGAGGATGACCAGCTGGCGGCAATTAAAAAAGCGCACGCGAACGACATTGTGTGGTAACACGGTCCTTTTAGTACGCTTTTTATGAACACGTGCATCTTAAACGTGCCAAAATACTTCAGTCTACAAAGTGTTGTACTTACTAACGATCATTCATGTAGTCCAGGTAGGAAGGGGGATCATGGTTCGAGAACCCCCCACCTCCTCCTATACCTCCCCGAAATGGTCAAATTGATATGTGTATACACAAACCCATATGCAAACACACGCACAAACGAGCATAAAGAGTGGCCCCGCCGCGGTGGTCTAGTGGCTAAGGTACTCGGCTGCTGACCCGCAGGTCACAGGCTGGAATCCCAGCTGCGGCGGCTGCATTTTTGATGGAGGCGGAAATGTTGTAGGCCCGTGTGCTCAGATTTGGGTGCACGTTAAAGAACCCCAAGCGGTCGAAATTTCCGGAGCCCTCCACTACGGCGTCTCTCATAATCATATGGTGGTTTTGGGATGTTAAACCCCACACATCAATCAATCAATCGAGAATAAAGAGTGGTTAAACTAAGTGTTTAAACTCACACGTTGCTCGCAGAATTTAACAGAGGACTTTTGTTCTCCTCGCAAGTGGACAACTTGAGAATATTTTGAGCCCCCTTCCCCTAAATAAAGGTAACAAGTGAGCAATAAATAAATAAATAAAGAGAGAAAGAAAGAGAGAAAAAAGACACGCACCAAGTTTGATCTGACTAAGCAAAAACACGTACTGTTTCGTAGCGCTGGCCGGTACTCATTATTTTCTCAACTCTGTGGCGACAGGGAGGAAATTCATTTGATTTCAGGAAACGCTCGAAGGTGTAGAGACATTATCGACCTTTCCCGTGTTATGGCGATCTTAAAATCCAGAAAACAGGCGTCACATCGCGCCACTGCTCCATATGAAAAGAGGCATTCATGCTGCCAGCTCACCGATGTTGCAGCCAATGCAGCCAGGCTCGAACACGCAGTTCTCCAAGTGGGTCTTGGCGAGCTCCTCCAAGTCGTTACTGTAGCTCTGCATGCACCACGTGCGCACATACATTCACAGAGCGTACACTAAAGGGACGCGAATTATAACGGTTTAAAAAGCAGCCTTCAGAGCTATTAGCTAGTAACCACAGAAAAAAGTAAAATAAAAGCCTGCAATAGATGGCGCGTACAATGCCACTGCGAATGCTTGCCACTGTGCGGGTTTCATTTGACGCTGATAGTACATAGTACATTACTTTACATGTTCTACTCGCGAATATAACACATGCTTTGGACACTTTAACTGCTTACAACTCGTTTTCTAATCTGAAGAAGTGTTACAGCGGGTAGAAAGAAAGTCGTCGGCGATAAAGCTAGCTTTTGGTGAAGCCTATTTGTCTTCGTCAGGATGCACCGACCACGAATACATATATACTCGAGAACGAAACCCTCCGACCAAGTCCGTTACTCGGGCAAGAGAAATTGCCTTTGTCAGGGTATGACCAAAGCCTGAAGAAGGCAAATATACTTGCCGGAATTTCAACTGGTTGAGGCTTTCATCATCGGTCGGTGGTTGGCCAGGGTGGATTGGTGGCAAGTTCATAGCCTTTATTTTCTAGGAGACGCTTGCTTACGAGCGTCAGACTTTCTGGCGGTGCAGATGTCCGCGTGAAGCAGTGATGTCAACCTAAGACAACGTTTTCTACCTAGATTGACCCTCGAAAGTTCTCTAGATTACAAGAACATTCCATAGATTATATTTTCAATGTGATTATTCAGGCTAATTGACTCGGAACTAAGCAATATGATGGTGTCCTTTGTAGCCAAGTTCTTGTGAACTTTACTAAAAGTAAAAAAAATACTATTGAGCACCTTTTATTGTATTATTTACAAGTTCTGTGGAGTTACATATAAGGTGCTTGCAAAAGGCACCACTTGCCACAGCGGCAGATTTGCATGGCAAGTTCCCTTTGTACATGCATTGAAGAGATAGATGGGATCATTCGGGTCAACCGCATATCTGTAGCGTTTTTCTTATATTTGCAGCCTGTAAGCTGAGGGTATGTTCTAAATTTTGTGCATTTACAATCTCTAGTGCCTTGTTTTCAATAGATGTGCGACGTGGGCGCTATATTAATGGCCTATAGCTACGCCTTTTCTCTAAGCTTCAGGTCAGGTCCCCGTTTAGTCAAATGTATTCGTAAGTTTTAGGGGCTCCTTAAAACGTCACCTGTTCGTTCTCGTAGTAGTACGTAGCATGTCTTGCGCTTTGACCTGCAAGGTGGTGCCGGTAGGAGGTTTCTCCTGTGCGTTCTTGAACAATGAAAAATCCACCGCGTGCGCGTGAACTAAAAGCCGACTTCTCCTGTCCCTCATTCCCCGTTAGCAGCCATTGGCATGTACGTTGAGCACTATCTGACAAGAAAGAATTGCTATACGTTATACTCGCTGGGCGTAACCTCCTTGGTTTTAGAAAGGTTTAGTGAGCGTTGGGCCGCAGTGCCATGAATACAGTCAACTAGTATATACCATGAACTCGAGGTGGTTAAAGGTGAAAAGTAGACAAGAAGCGCAAGCCGTAAGAAAGTGTGCGTGTGCCACCTCTCGTTTAGTCCTTGAAATGTCCGCTGGGTGGCGGTGCTTCTATATGCGGAATATACGATGAAAAGATGCAAACTGGTGGTACTTGGAGTTTGGACTATATGGACGATTGGACACACAGACAGATGCATGGGCGGACGCACGTGTGGCTGCACGGACGGATGGACGCATGGACGGATGGACACATGGATGGATGGACGCATGGACGGACGCATAGGCGTATGCATGGACGAACGCAAGAACGAACACACGGATGGACGTGTGAACGCACGAACAAACGCACGCACGGACGGGCGGATGGACGCATGGATGGTCACACAGATGGATGCATATATGATGAAAAGATGCGAGATGGTGGTACTTGGAGTGTTGACTAGATGGACAAACGGACACACAGACAGATGCATGGACGGACGCACGGATGGCTGCACGGATGGATGGATGCATCGACGGACGCAGGGAAGGACGCACGGATGGACGTGTGGATGCATGAACGGACGCATGCACGGACAGGCGGATGGACGCATGGACGGACGGAAGCAAGAACGAATGGACGGACGGATGGTTCACCCCACTCTCCATCATTCAACCCGTGGATATGCTGCCATTTTTTTCTCTACCATGTAAAGGGAATGACGAAAGACTGAAAAAACCCGAACAGTCTTTTGATCCCATCGTTTTCGCAATAATAAACCCGTACAATCTTACCAAATATTCAGTCCTACTTTCTCACTGTTAATCTATAATCTTCCTGGTTATATCACATGAAGACATTGTTCAGCGAAAGCACGCAGTGAGCGTAAATTTGGCACGTGTTTATGCGCACAACAAAACAAAGTTAATCTTACTTTCACAGTAGAGCAGTCACTTCAGGAGGTGACTCCTCTACTGAGAGGAGGCACACGAACACTTTCTTACGGCTTGCGCTTCTTGTCTACTTCCCACCTTCAACCACCTCGAGTTCATGGTATATACTAGTTCACTGTATTCATGGTACTGCGGCCCAACGCTCTCTAAACCTTTCTAAAGTCTTAGAAGTTACGCCCAGCGAGTATAACGTAGCAAACCTTTCTAGTCTTCTGTGCGTTGTTGAACAATAAAAAATTCGCAGCGTGCGCGTTAACTAAAAGCCGAATTCTCCTGTCTCTCATTCCCCCTTAGCCGCCATTGGCATGTACATTGAGCACTATCTTTTATTGTTCAACAACGCACAGAAGAAATCTCTCACCAGCACCACCTTGGAGGTCAAAATGTTACACTTGTTACACACTACTACAACAGCTACGAGGGACGAACGGGTGTCGCTATAAAACGCTTCGCCCCTAAAAAACAACCTCGACGTCACATCTGCCGGCTATCCTCGTTAGGTTGTGGGCCACGCCGTGGATGTAAGTAATGACAGCGTACTTCTTATTTGGCGGTCTAGTTTCGCGAGTCAGAGCAGGCAACTCTGAACTCATTTTTGTTCTTTGAGCAAACATTCAGCCACAGCGATTCATCAAGTGACAGGGATATCCTGCATTGGTGAGGCATTCTACCTGCATATTAAAACAGACATACTGCCCCACTAGCCCGTGGGGTAGTATGCCCCAAGGGCTAGTAAGCCTTTGCTACCGTTTAAGTCAGCCCACTCTAAATTGGTAAAAAGAACTATATAGTGTTATGCCAGTGAGTCCTCGTCAAACGTCCGTGCCTCTGAAAAAGGCAATCTGGGTCAAGGCCAGCCCGCAGTCTGCCTGGCGCGATCACCTCGACGGCGTGAACACGCGCGGCGCCCCTCTGGCCCATGTGCAGTGAGTCAGCTGCGCACGTGACAGCGAGCCGGCGGCCGCGTGTCTGGTGGTCTGACGCATGGCGCGGCGGCCCCCATTGGCGGAATCTGCCCTGACGACCAGCGGCGCTTCTGATTGGACATTTTGGTTGGACCCGGTGTAAATAAAAGAAGCCCTGCGGCGCGTCGCGATCGGAGGTCCTACGAGAGAGGAGTCCCCATGTCGGAGAGCCGACATGTGTGTGAGTCAGCGGTCTCAGGCGAAAGGCTGATCTATGTGTTAGAGAGAAGAGCTCGGCTCTTCGAGTCTCTGTCGGCCCCAGTGCCGAAATTGTAACGCCTCTGTATATATGCTGTACATAAACCTTGTTTAACTCACCGTCGTCTCGTCCGCTCGTCTTATCAGCTCTGCGCAGAAGCAGTCGCGAGCTGATAAACACACGCTACCAAACGGCTGGTGACCTTCCCGGCGGAGTTGGAAGCAGTGGCGCCATCGGGACCGTGTTGGCGTCGCCGTCTTTCGCAACAGTGGTGGCTTCGGCGGGATCGGTCCGTCGTTTCTCAACAGTGGTGGCTTCGGCGGGATCGGTCCGTCGTTCGCAACAGTGGAGGTCAGCGGCGGGATCGGAGGCCCGTCTTTCGCAACAGTGGTTGGCAGCTGCGGGATCGGCCGGCATCAGCGACATCGATGCGGTGAGTGCCTGATGTTTTCCCCTCAGTTCACCAGACTGCTCTAGCTCAGGTTGTAGTAGTTTAGAGAAGGGCTGTGTGAAGCATTAGAGTGAGCTTTGATCGTTTCAAGCAAAGTCGAAGTGCTTTGAAACCAAAGTTAATGCGGAGGGGGTAAACACGGGAGAGTGAAAAATTGCTTGCGCGTCTTGCTAGTTGACTTATAGTGGGTACGGCAAGTAAATTGTTAACAGGGGCAAACAGCAAGAGGCTAGTGTGAACGATGGAGAACCTTAAAGTGAAGGAACTCATCGAAATTTGTGAGGAACTCGGCATTGCTTTGGGCCGTGCGAAACGAAAGCAAGCGATCCTTGAGATCATGAAGGATGAGGGAGTGTCGGCTGAGGAAGTCGATGAGGCCTGGGTGGATATTAAAGCACGCCGTGAGGAGGCTGAAAGGCGAGAAGTAGAAGCTCGCGAAGAAGCTGAAAGGCGCGAAGCTCGCGAAGAAGCTGAAAGGCGCGAAGCTCGCGAACGTGAAGAAGCTGAAAGGCGCGAAGCTCGCGAAGAAGCTGAAAGGCGCGAACGTCGCGAGGAGGCCGAGAGACAGGAGCGCCTTGAGATGAAACGACTAGAATTGGCAATCCTACAGTGTTCGCAGGCGCCTAGCGTAGCTTCTCCGACGATTCAGGTCAGCGGTTTTAGAATTCGGGACCAACTGCCACCGTTCGTAGTAGGCGAGGACATGGCGAAGTATCTCGTCAAGTTTGAACACGTCTGTGAGCGAAACGCTTTGGAGCGGCCTCTTTGGGCGCGGAACCTGCTAGCTCTTCTTCCCGGCGAAGTGTCCGACGCGATAACTTGCTTGTCGAGGGAAGCGTTTGAGAGTTATGACGAGGTTAAGGAAGTGCTCTTGAGACGTTATAAGTTGTCACCCGAGGCTTTCAGGCAAAGGTTCCGGTATGCTAAAAAGGGGAATGAGTCACACGTTGACTTCGCGTTTCGTCTTAAAGCCGATTTGATTGAATGGCTCAAGGGCGAAGGTGTTTATGACGACCGCGATAAAGTGGTGGAATGCGTTGCATTGGAGCAATTCTACCGCTGCATCGAGGAGGATGTCAAACTTTGCCTGCAGGACAGACTTGGGGACGTACAGTTAAACAAGGCAGCTGAGTTAGCTGAGGAGTATTATACTCGCCGAAAGTTGCATAGCAGGGCAGCGCGCGTTGAAAGGGATGAAAGGAAAGAGGGCTTTTCAAAGAAACCTGATCAACGGAAACCCGCTCCGCACCGTAATTTCAAGAAGGACCCGTCTCTTACGAAGGACAGTGTAGGGGAAGGGCAAACAGAAGCGGAGAAATCGAGTGAGGTTTCTACCACACAGGCATTAGAACCGGAAAACAAACGGAAGCCGCTAATCTGCTACAACTGTAAAAAGGAAGGGCACATCGCGAGAAACTGTCAGGAAAAGTTTGCCTTCGCAACGATCCGGGAATCAGAAAAAAAACATTCGGTTGTTGGAGCCGTATCTCCAAGAAATTAGGGTCAATGAGAAAAAGTGCCGAGCACTTAGAGACTCAGCGGCAACCATGGACGTTGTCCATCCTTCATTGGTGTCTCCGGATGACTTCACAGGAGAATGCGCGTGGATTAGGCAAGTCGCCGAGGTGCAGAGTGTTCGCTTACCAATCGCCACGGTTGTCATTGAAGGCCCGTTCGGTAAGCTTCGCACCGAAGCAGCTGTGTCTGCCGCGCTAAATGATCGTTTTCCTTATCTTTTCTCCAACAACTCGGAGCAGCTTCTCAAAGAGCAGGGCAAATCGTTCTTCCCCAACTTAGCGTGCATGGCTCTCACGCGATCGCAAGCGCGAAAGCTTTCGCGGAAGCTTGACCTGGTTCCATGCGGTGAACTCTCAAGTGACCTTGTCGGCGGGTCGACGGAACCCCAGAAAGGAAAGTTTCCGCATGAGTCATGTGAGCAGTCACGCGAGCGGCCCGTCGCCGAACCTAGCTGCGCGGTTTCCGGAGAAAGGGGAGACGACATGGCGCCATTGAGTCAGAGCGAGAGGGCTGCAACGCTCTCGCCTGTAGCGGAAAGTTGGAGCGAGCTGCCGAGAGTTGATCGAGAGACGCTCATTCGAGAGCAGCGTGAGGATCTCTCGATTGAGGCGCTAGTGGAAAGCCACAAAAACGCGGCACAAGTGCTGTCGAAGGAGCACTACGAGAAATCGGTGAAGAAGCGCGCTTTTGAAGTTGATAATCAGGTAATGCTGCTGCAGCCGTACAAAAGGAACAGGCTTGAGGTTGATTGGGAAGGGCCCGCAAAAGTAGTATCGAAGCTTTCTGATACCAATTGTGAATTTAAATTAGGAAGGCGGCCGAACAAAGTTTATCACAGTAACTTGAAAGCAGTCGTAAATTTACATTTAAGTGCTTCGGAGGAAGAGGAAGCGGAAATTTTTAGTTCTAGTGAGATAATCGAAAGGAAATCGGAAGTAATCTGGGAACAGTTGAACCTGGAGCCTAGCGTAAGTGAAAGAGGACCTGAGAAAGAGGACCTGAGAAAGATTGTTTCCGAGTTTGGGTATGTGTTGTCGGACCGTCCCGGAGACACGACGGTGATCGAACACGATATCGAGCTAAGCGGTGAGGAGTCAATCAGTAGCAAGCCGTATCGTTGTTCCCCTGTGCAACGTCGAAAGTGTGAGCCGCTCTTGGTGCCGCATAGGTATCGTCGCCTAAAAGTGGCCGGTTACTGAAGTGGAGCATGTTGCTCCACAGCGCAACTTTGACGTTCGCTATCAAAAAAAAATAAAGGAAAGGTAAACGCTAATGCAGGTGCATTGAGCAGTGCGTTCCAGCTAGTAACTTCTCAACCTTTCGGTTTCTGGCTGGCGATTCGGGGCGAAAATTTTGACCTCATCACGACCTGGGCTGAGCGCTCTCGTTTAGAGTGATCTCAAGGGGCCAACTTTGTGGTATTCTAATTCGTTACGTTGTTGTACGTGGGAAAAAAAAATTGAGTTGTCATTTTAAGAGTCTTGTGTCCCACATGTGCCTCTTGATGTAGAGGGAACAAAATTCCGATAAACACGTAGATAGGTATATGTTGTACTATACTTTGTCTGGTGTTCTGTCGGGTGACCGAGGGCACTTGCTTGTGTCGTGTGTTGTCTGCTGTCGAACCGTTCTTAGCAAGTTGCAGAACCATCGACAAGTGCTGAAACCGAAGATGGTCAGAAGAGACGAGCGAAGTTGGCCAGCAAGTTGTGACGACGAGCCAGTGGAGCTGGGATCTGTCGTCAAAAATGGGATGTGTTCCCGGAACAGTTTGGAGCTGTATTCTCCCCATGGCCCTGGAGGCGAACCTGGAGGGACCTGGCGAACGAGCGCACCTGACATCCGAGCCCCGTGGAAGCAGCTCGTCTTTCCGGTGCATTGTCTGGCGGCGGGGGTGCTGTTATGCCAGCGAGTCCTCGTCAAACGTCCGTGCCTCTGAAAAAAGGCAATCTGGGTCAAGGCCAGCCCGCAGTCTGCCTGGCGCGATCACCTCGACGGCGTGAACACGCGCGGCGCCCCTCTGGCCCATGTGCAGTGAGTCAGCTGCGCACGTGACAGCGAGCCGGCGGCCGCGTGTCTGGTGGTCTGACGCATGGCGCGGCGGCCCCCATTGGCGGAATCTGCCCTGACGACCAGCGGCGCTTCTGATTGGACATTTTGGTTGGACCCGGTGTAAATAAAAGAAGCCCTGCGGCGCGTCGCGATCGGAGGTCCTACGAGAGAGGAGTCCCCATGTCGGAGAGCCGACATGTGTGTGAGTCAGCGGTCTTAGGCGAAAGGCTGATCTATGTGTTAGAGAGAAGAGCTCGGCTCTTCGAGTCTCTGTCGGCCCCAGTGCCGAAATTGTAACGCCTCTGTATATATGCTGTACATAAACCTTGTTTAACTCACCGTCGTCTCGTCCGCTCGTCTTATCAGCTCTGCGCAGAAGCAGTCGCGAGCTGATAAACACACGCTACCAAACGGCTGGTGACCTTCCCGGCGGAGTTGGAAGCAGTGGCGCCATCGGGACCGTGTTGGCGTCGCCGTCTTTCGCAACAGTGGTGGCTTCGGCGGGATCGGTCCGTCGTTTCTCAACAGTGGTGGCTTCGGCGGGATCGGTCCGTCGTTCGCAACAGTGGAGGTCAGCGGCGGGATCGGAGGCCCGTCTTTCGCAACAATAGTGAAGGCCTGCTGCGCGCACGCTTTGGGGTAGTCATGCTACCACAAGATCCAGGCCATTTTTAATGTGCAGGTAGAACGCCTCACCAATGCAGGATACCCCTGTCACTTGATGATCGCAGTGGCTGAATGTTTGTTCAAAGAACAAAAAATGAGTTCAGAATTGCCTGCTCCGACTCGCGAAAGTCGACCGCTAAATAAGAAGTACGCTGTCATTGCGTACATCCACGGCGTGGCCCACAACCTAAAGAGGATAGCCAGCAGATGGGACGTCGAGGTTGTTTTTTTATGCCCTGGAGAAGCTGGCTAGCATGTGTAGGGTCATCAACCCAGGAGCTATAGGGAGTCCGCCACCTGCCGAACTAAGTATCGGATTAAGTTCGTTCCATGCGTTCACGGCGTGGTGTATTCCATACCATTGTCTTGTAGTAAACTATACATAGGACAAACTGGGCAATGTCTGAATGAGCGTCTCAAGGAACACGCTTACCGTGTTTCCACGTTTGTCTGGCCACCTAGGCACTCATTGCCGAGATTGTGGGTGTACCCCTGATTTTCATTCATGTGCGGTTATCAAGCGTCATCGGCACCAGCTTACCAGTGAAATACTGGAGGCTTTAGACTAGGGGACGCATGCGTAAGCTGGCCTTCAGTTGCCCTTTCAGAAAAACAAGTTGTCTTTTTATCTGGTTGATTGTACGAGCTATGAAAATGATCTTGCGGTTTTTCTTCGACTATCACTTTTGTTTCTTCTTCTTTCGTTCACCTGCATAGGTATACATGCGTGACTTGAAGAATAAAGTTTTAGTTGTAAGTCAGTGCTCTGTATGTCTACTTCTTTGTCTGGGCTCTCGTTTTTCGCGCAGTTTTTTTTTTCAAGTAGCCAAAATTATCTTTTTAACCGCCTTTATAGTTGAAGCGTAATTACAAAATAATGCCTTTAATCAGGCACCGTAATTTGACATTTCCAGAGCTTTACAATACCCATGAATTCATATCCCTGAACGAAGTAAAAATCCATGAATGTACGCATGCATATTTAGGGGTGGCGTCAATGGTACAAAGCCTGGCCGCAAGGTGAGGGTAAAAAAATGTAGTTCTCCAAAATGCGCTGGTCACATGCGTATCTGTATGCGCAGTTTCGCAATATTTTATGCACTTAATCACGGGCTTGAGGCTATCAGCCCCTTATGACATGGCAATCTTATCTTTTATCTTGATGACTTGTAATTTTACTTTGCCTCAATATATTGCCGCCTGAAGACGAATTAATGCATCACCATCGTTGCTGTCTGTAGCAGCTGCCTGTAGCCACTAAAGTGATTATCTGCTGAGTACGTGGATGAAGGTCTGACAGCTAGCACGGAGAAAACAAATAGTTAGGAGTGAGCCTTACCTAATGCGATAAAAATAAAGCAATAGTTGAGGCACGCACACGTCAAGCTTCGCTTACCCCGTTTACCCGATAACGAAATCACTCTTGAATACTTTGCATTGTCGGGTCTTCTCCCCGTGGTCACCAGTTTTGTAGTGATCTGTATTGAAACAGCATTTAATCGACGATAATGTCGACGACGCTCACCATTTGCTGCATGTCGGAGGCGGCCGGCCAGTTGTTCAGCTGACCGAGGGCCACCGAATTTCGTATCTCGTTGTGCAGCTGGACGATGGTCGCGCGCTCCTCGTCGCTCATTGCCGCGCATCGGACGCTGCAGAGCAGCAGCAGCGCGGCGGCTTGCACGGACACCACAAACCACGGGGGCAGCATCGTCGCGCAGCGCCTGCGGCACAAGCACGCACCTACGTAAAATAACAATTCATTCGGAACTTGTGCAACTTGAACTGCGCGAGAAAATTTCTTCCGTCACACTCACCGTGACTCCCTTCACTAATTTACAACATGTCAATCCATATCGGTGTTTTAAAACATCTGTTCTATAAGTAATCCCGTTGCAGACTCGCCTGACGCAGCAGCAGAGTCAGGTCATCACGTGAACTGGAGTGCATGTGAGAGGTGCGTATCAGAGCAGCTCAGAGTCGTAGACAGAATTTTTTTTTTTTTTGGGGTGGGGGGGCACCTTTATTTCAGGGTGGGAATCCCGTTGAAATGCTCATTTTTTGCCCTCTATGCCATAACAAAAAACATCGGGGGGGGAGGGGGGGGGCACGAGCCTAGTGCGCCACCCCCTAGCCACGCCCCTGGAGCAGCTGCGCCACGCTGGTTTTACGACCAGAACGCCAAGCAAGAAGCGAACCAATCGAAAAGCGCGCCAGGGGAGAGCATGGGGCATAAAATGTGGTATTATCCTGCTGCGTGTCCTTCAGCAATAGGTACTGCGCAGGGCTTGAGAGGCAAAGTAACGTCGAACTAGAACGTCAGTGCTGTTTCTTGAAATTTTCCATCATGAAACAGTTTTTGAAAGCATATTTCTTGACTTATTCAAAGCATTCTACAAGCTAATCCATGCGGTGGTTCTTCTTTGGACTGCGAGTTCTGTAAATTTAGGCCATATTGCAATTAGTTGCATAAACTTGCTCCGTTCTTCACAAACGGTCTTTGTTTATAATTTCGTCCTCTACGGCCAGCGAGCCGCCACACTTTAAGCCCCTCCCGCATCTTCAAGGGGCAACACAAAGTGATATACTCTTTATTTATTTATTTATTTATTTATTTATTTATTTATTTATTTACAATGATGCTTCATGTATGAGACACTGCTTAAGTCGCCAAAACGATGATTTTAGCCCATACAAGACGACCTCCCGAGTGTGCACTTTCCCTTTCAAAAATAAATGAACAAACAGAAACGGCATAGGGAAGTTTGAAATGCTGCTTTGAAGGTAGTGGCAAGATCTTGCACGTGATCTTGAAAACAGCGCAAAGTTTAAGAGACATGGTCGGTGACACATGCCGCGAAAGCAGGGACACAGATATCGGATATTCCGACGTCTACACTGCGCTGTCGTGGTGTAGGTATAGTGCGGAGTAAATTTTGTCTTTATGAGAACCTAACCTAACACCTTGAATGTTGATGGTATCACAGATGCGAAATGAACACAGAATCCTCAATTGGGCCATCTCTCCTTCCCGTGCGTTTTCGAGCGCCAGCCTCCTCTCGTCGTTGTAGGTGCAAATAAAATTTAAAGAGATCTCTGACTTACGTGCCCTGGAACCTGAAGAGAACAGGGCTGCTCGAACTGAACATCACGCCTCGGAGTAGAGAACGGAGCCGTCGGTTTCGTGCTGCAAGCTCAGAGCCACAGTGGGCGCAGCTTTCGAGACCGCTTGAAGCTTCGCACACGGACGGAATTTGTCATTTGTATAAAATGCACCCGAGAGTGCGGATCATAGCGGAGGCATCACGTCACCGGCACAGCCTGTTGAGGTGAAGATGATGGTAATGATGCGTCCCAAGCCTGGTATGTGCCCAGAAGAGGGCATGTGGCAAGACTTACATATGTCGGCATATTTCCCAGCCGCGGAAACTAGCATCTCTGGCCTACCTTGAATGGAATACTACAAGATCACATGACTGTGTATTGCGCACACGTATAACCAGCGGCTTGTCACAAGTTATTCGTGGCGTGTGGGCGTGCATGTGTAAAATATAAGTTGTACACGCTGCCTCAGTGGCATTCCACATGTTGATTTATGTCTACAAGAAGGAAGATGTAGTAGGGCGCAAGTGGATCTTGCTTTGCGAGATTCGCAGGCTTACGCTCGTATGATAGAAGACTGTTTCGCGATGCTCATAAACGTGTGTTTAGTGAAGAAATGCTGTGCTGAGTTGTTACGAATATTATTCGACTGTGATATAAACAAAATTTTAAATACATATAATTTGAACCAGCTCCCTAAATATACCGCATTGCAGGCATTCGTCCTCCACGATATGACAAAAAACTACACGAGGAAGAAGGTTAGCCTTCGGTTGCGTCATCAGAATAGTCTATCTTCATCATTGTAATTCTTTCTCAGTACTTCGGGTAAATTTCATGCGTCAAGAGCTTTTCTCCCAGTGAATTTGAGGCATTTGCAGCGCGTCTCTCGGGTATCTAGGTACCAAAGTGTGTGATTTCATTGAAGTGGCATACTGTGTGATTAATGATAAGCTAGCAGATTCTTTCGTTTCGTATAGCTTTCAAAGATGGCGCGTATGTTACTGCTGCTCCGTTTCGAAGGAGTGCTATATTGAAGTTTGACATGCTCCAGTGAATCGAGGCATTTACAATTCCCCTAGAGCGGAAAGTTTAGCATAACATGAATGATAATGCAGGTCGCTTCAACGAAACTGCCGCGTGTAGTTAGAGCTCATTCAACAGGAATCACGTCTGGCCGACCTCCCGACCTTTACCGCTGGATCTCCACGAAGCAAGTTTGCATGTGTATCTGTATCTTTCAACCAAAAGTTATTATGGCCTAGGACAGATTTTCGAAAACATAGGCACAAAACAATCCTCATGATTCTTACATGCTACTTATAGGGTCTGGTGATTTGTCCTTCTCGCTACTTTTGCAACTTAGAAATCATCAATGCTTATTTACTTGACTGTCTAAGCTTTTTCATAATGAGGAACCTTTAAATAAATCAGGAACCTCTAAGCCATAACGAGTTCTGAGTGCTCCCGCGCAGTTATATTTCGCGACTTATCTGCGCTGGAACACTCATTGCGAGATACACATGCGCATCTCTCCATCGAGAAATTCACTTGTGAATCAAACTGTTTTCACTGTAAATTTCCTTATTTGCCCTCGGTGTCCTGCAATCTCGTTGTCATTCCTTCTTTATATTATCTTATGGACCTGTCGTAGTAATGAATGCTTGCTTATTTCGCATACTTATCATAATTAGACACCCCTCAGGTGTATTTTAAGCAGCCTTTTCTGCAAATTCCTCAAAGTGGGTAGGGGCCACTCGGTTTATCATCATCATCATCGTCGTCATCATCATAGAATGGACGCAAAAAAGCAAAGCGGGCCAATGATCGAAGCTCGAGAAACAAGACATGAACTTGAACAGAGCATGAAAGCATCGGCAGTTTGAAGTCGGGGTACCGTAGCAAGTGTCCCCAAAAGCATGATTCACTGGCCAACAAGCGAAATTCCCGTAGACACTGTCATCCAACTGATACGGCAGCTGTCAGCTGTCGAGATTTCTGCGAGCTGTGCATAAGTTTATCCCTTATTGCAAAAATCACAATGAGTCACGGCAAGCGGCAACCACTTACCATGCTTTTAACCGTAAACACTTTTGCTGGAAGGGAATGTGGATGCCTAAGCGCAAGCAGCCGTATTCACATTTATGAAAGACGGCTGTAAAAAAAAAATGGCGTTTGGCTTTCTTCACTTCTATTGCGTCCGTGCTTGCACGCCCAAAATCATGCCCAATAGTTCAGCTCCTTGGTGCGCTAAACATCTTTCCTTCTGGATAGACTGGATGATCAGCCTTTGTCAGAACATAGGATTCTGGATCATTGGCTGAGCCCATCCTCAGCCCAGAAGGCTTTGAAAGCTTAGCTGCGCTTTTTGCGGACAAATGGCCTCAGAGACAGACTATAGTGCCTTATACTCTTTGATGTTGCCTTTCCTCTGTCGCAATTTTTTTGTAACTTCTCTCTTTCTCACTTCGCAACATTTCTTTTTAACTTCTTTTATTCCCCTCACCCCTTTCCTCAGCGCAGGGTAGCCAGTCGGTCTAAGAACTGGCTAACCTCCCTGTCTTTCCGCTTAAAGTTTCTTTCTCCTCCTCCTTCCTCTTTTCCTCTCTCTCTTTCGGTATCTCCCATTTTTCTCTCAGGCGTAAGGCAGCGAGCCACTTATCCGGGACCGGTTAACCTTCCTACCTTTCATTTTCTATCTTTTTTTTTCTCTCTCTTCACAGTCCATGGAATGGAGAAACGATGTGGGAAGCAGCAATAATGTCGAAGGTATCGGCAGTGCTGACGCAGCACGTGACTGTTTTCACTGGCACGCGTATAGTCACGTCGGCGGTGCAACTTAGGAGCGAGCAACACGAGCAGGAGTTGCTGGCTGTTTGAGGAAGACGACATTGGGGCGTCTCCAATTGTGTTCCTGTGTTTGAATACAGCCTTACCCATTTTCGTCGGAACGAAGTCTTGTGTCTTGTTGTTTTTACGTTGCGACCCTGGTTCTACGACGTCTATACTACTGAGAATAGTCTACCGAATACACCACAACATTCGAAAGGAGTGAGAAAAGGCTGGCACAAAGCTCTAAAGCAGTTATATGTTGCTACAATATAAAGTAAAAGAACACAATCTATAATAAGCTATACACCTTAGTAAGCTCTTGGCTTCCGTAGCGCTGCATTATTGTATACAATATTGAGTTTATTTAACCTTGAGCTTTACCACATCACCTAAAAAAAAAACGAGGTAAAAGAGGAGAAAGTTCTTTTGCATCTATAGTTCGTCATTGAGTAGAAAGCCTGCGGGAGTTTTTTCTTTTTCAGTCCAAAAATCTGAACTTTCCGCAGTCATAGCTTACTTGTTACTGCTTGTTACGAATTCTAATTTGCTTCTTCAATGCTTCGTACAAAAATATTAATCAAGCTGAGGTATTTCCCGAGCCATCATTCTAGGTTACGCACACGGCCTGAAGTTACTTTATTCGAGCTTAAATATATAGTATTGCCGCTTGTTACTATGGAGCTAGAATGAAACCGCATTTTCTAAATGCAAGCAAAGCCCGCGAAGGTTTAGAATTCTGGTACGGCAATTCACTTCACATAGGCATCCTGTGCTTGATTTTTCAGTATT